AGTAATCATCCACCGTTGGATCTGATAAGATTCAACGATCCAGAAGCCTCCAGAGGAAACCTAGGGTATCATCACCCTAGGGCCACGTCACCGCTTCCCTTGCTGCCACCACCGCCGCCTCAGAAAGCTGCTGCCACCGCTTCAACAGAACGCTCCAGAAGATCCATCTGCCCCTCCACGCTACAACTCTATGGTGAGTCACCATCATAGTCTGGTGACTCACCAAAGAGCCCTTTTGGACTGGTTCGAGGCCATTACCATGGTGGCTAAAGCCACCAAACCTGTAAAAGACAGCAACGGAGAGCGACAGAGAGAGAAACGAACAACAAAAGAGAATAAACGAGCAAGAACAACCAAAAGAGGAAAGGACAACAAGCAAAGGAGATCCAAACAGCAACCATACCAACAAATAATAGTAAAGAAGAGAGAAAATAAGGCTTACCACATCTATCGGAGCCTAACGAGCCATCAAAGAAACCGAAATACCTAACGTATTTCCATAGATCTAGGTAATTTCGAAGGTTTTTAGGGAAAGTAAAGACTGGAATCGGCCTTAGGGTATTTCGATCTATATTTTAGGTAAATTTGGGATTTTCCGGCCACCGGTGGTGGTGGTCGACGATGGAGCTTGCGGCGGCGTGTGGCTGCCGGCGACTGCCGGAATTCCCTCAAATGAGGGAAATATAGAGAAAAACGAGAGGTTGAGAGAACCAGAAAGAAAAATGAGAAAATAATGGCCCTTTGGGCCGGTTTAAAGGGTATATATACCCTCACCGATGCCGTTTTGGTGAGGGTGTTTCTGTAATTTCTCATAGGGGTAAACCCCATCCGTAGTGCTTCACGTCTGTACACTTTGCAATTTAGTCATTGAAATTGACTTTTAAACATTTCAATTTAGTAAATTATATTTACTTTATAATTTAGTCCTTTTCAGTAGTTATATATATTTTAGGATAAATACTTTATTTAGTCCCTGGTAATTTTAATTACTTTTTTTGATCCCCAATAATTAATTAGGTCAAACTACACTATTAATACCTATATTTTTAATAATTCGAATTAGGTCTGTAAATTTTAATATTTTACATTTAATAACTGTGTTTTATATAGTTTTATTTTAGTCCCTAAATTAATAAATTGGTAAAATAGCATATCTAATCCCTGTATTTTAAATAATTAATTATAAATTACGTATTTAATTTTATTAGATTATAATTTAGTCCCTAAGATTAATATTTTCATTTATTTTACAAGCTTTATTACTTTTTACATTTTAATACTATTTTAATTTTATTAATCATATTTACTTTCATATTTATGATTATATATTTATCATTAGTATTACTATTATTATTTAATGTCAACATATATATATAATAATATTTATCTAAGTCTATAAATATTATATAAATATATTATTTTTATGAAAATCCTATTTATAAATTTAATACATTATTTTTAAATCATTTCAATCATATTTAATATATATTTATCAATATTAGAAAGAACAGTCTTAAAGCAACTAAATGTCCATTGTTTGATATTTTTAAATAAAAAAATAAATATTTTAATATAAATCTGTTTTTATATTATTTTCTATTAAAATTTATTATTTTTTCAATATTAAGAAAGGAGCTGTCTTAAAGCACCTAGAAGCCCTTTTCTGATATTTCTAAATAAAAATATATGTTTAATATATATATATATATATATATATATATATATATATATTATCTTAAAATTATATTAATAAACTTAAACAGAATTATGGATTAATATATTTTTAAACTTTTAAATTTCCAATAATAGAGACAATTTAAATTTATAAGTACCAATTTTGGGCGTTGTAGGGGTGCTAATACTTTCCTAAACATAACCGACCACGAATCCCTTTTTATTTCTAAAAGAACAAATTTTTGGTTAAATGCAGATCAATTTATCTTTTAACTGATGTTTTCTTAAAAACTTTTAAAAGGTAATTTTTAGGTATTCGACCTACTTGACCCAAAAGGCCGATGACGACTCCCAAACCATTTTTTTAATTATTTTGTATCCACATTATTTTTCCCGCCAAGTAAAAATTCGTGCCCGGACGAAAACCGGTTACGACTGTTACAACCGACATGAATTGGGCAAATAACCCATATCGATTTAAGCGTTCGACTAGGGGGATCAGGGGCCATCAAAGCCTATGCATAAGATTACAAGTGAGAATAACCAAAATTATAATTACAAATAGAAACAGAGCAAATTAGGATGACATAAGACTGACCTTGTGTGATGCTCAGGAAATAGTCAGGACACTCGAGTCCTTTTAGCAGTTTAACGATTGCTCTTCATGGTGTAATATCTAGTTATAGCTCTACTAGTGCGTTAGAAACTTTAGTTGCCAGCTTGACACAGATGCCTCAAGACTCGACATAGTAAGATGGTCGGGTATACATATCCGATGCAGGTAAAATTTTGGATCGCACCCCAATGCTCGAGAGCCTACATGTTGGCTAGAGATGTAAGCTTTCGATGCATGAAAAAATTGGTTCTTACCCTGAGACCCTCAAATATTCAAGGTAGGCTAGGTGTTCCGAGATGGAGAAAATTACTCCGACCACACCACTAGACCTACCTCATGCTTGTTATTATACTTGTGCATACCCATGACTTCACACACCAACATGTCCATGAAATGAATGCATGTAGTACTACATAGTTATTAATGTGTCACTAAGCTTGTGAACTCAGTGTTCGGAATTTGTTTCCATGCATAGTTTAGTTGAGGATCGAGAGGAGCCTATCGCGCAGATACATTCCAAATCAACCGTTTTCAGAGTATGTGTTGAGTATTTTAGAGGGCATGTATTATGGACCTTGTATTATTTCAAGTCATCACTCTATTTTGATTTAAACTCAATGATTGTATTTTGTACGTATTGGGAGCTCCCCGTATTTTGTAAACTCTGATTTGTGATTTTTTATTTCATGTTATTATGGATAGTTTTACAAACGATTTCGAAAGAAAATTTTTGGGTTAGCCACTTCGGTTGTACGTGTAACGTTTAATCGTTCACTCTTCGAGTCAGACTAGACTAGGGCGTTACATTTGATTTCCACATGACCTAACTTCCCAAAAGCCTCGTCACAGGGTGAGTTATTCTTCCACTGGTTCAATCTATAGTTTTAATATGATACATATATCATAAAACGTTAAAGAATTCAATTTGAACTTGCAAATCAATCCACTAACCATTAACTTTGTTTTAGTTGTTTGAGTCATATTTTATAACTTAAACTTTATTTAATTTTTTATTTGAATTTTATAAAATTATAAATTGATTTGAATTTTAAGGTTGAACCGAGTAAAAATTCTGTTTTTTATTCGAATCAAATGTTCACACTTGTATAAAATAACTATTTTCATCTTTGTATTGGTGAATAAAATAAATCAATGACTAAAGAATTAAGTATACGGTAACCTTTAGAGAACACCAAGTCTCATTATAACATTATCATGTCTTGTTAGAGTTTCCTAAATCAAAAAACACATATAATTAAGATTTCGGAATTTAATTTTTTTTACAAAATCTTCGTATATTTACCGTCAATTTAGTAAAATTTTTATTTTCTCAACATATATCTTTTCATATAAGTTAACATGTTATTATTATTTATTCCATGATCTTATTTTTTTAATCACCATTTTATAGTAACAATTTTAAAAATATGCACTTCTAAGTTTGAACCATTTAACCAAAAGCAGTTAAAATCGCACCAACTAAAACATATGAATACCAAAACAAAGAGGATCACGCGTAATAAAACTCAAAGCTGGCCACATTTGTGTGTCGGCTGATAGGGAAAAGCCCCCACACGCTTTGTTAGAAGAGAAAATTATAAAAAGGGTGATTCATAACTTGTTTTTGAACTAAAGTCAATAATACAATTATGCAAACTGTGTATGAAAAGTCCATTTGGAAGTTCTTGGTCTGTTGTACTTTAACTTTTCAAATTTTCAAAAAAGAAATACAATTTTAGTGTTATGCAGTGACCCACCAATGCTGACCCTTTGCTGGGACAGAAACTCAAACTTTGGGGTCAAATAGTGTACCATTGTAGACTTTGGCTACTAGGTCAAAAAGTTAATATGATGTGATAAATTATGTTATTTTTTCATTAATGATTAGATTGATATAATTTATTTTAACTAAAAAGTTAATAAAATTGTTCTTAGGAGTTTAGTTAGATGTTTGGCTACTATCCATTAAATTGATATAATTCAGCTTAATTGAATGAGATCGAGTTTAAATTGAATTTATGTATATTATTTTTTTGAATACACAGGGAAAACAGCATAGACTAGGCAGTGTTCATCGACTGCAACTCGATTTCCAGCAGAGGCAAAATACCCAAGGGGGCTAAGCATGACGAACCATGCTACACGGCTGGTCCCAAGCAACCCCCGCCATGGCATCAGCAACGGCATTACCTTCACGCAGAGTATGAACTGCTCGAACTCTCCAGTCACGACCCATAAGCTCAATCAGGTGGGGAACGATATGAGAGATCCGTTCCATATCGACACCTTGTTGTAATAGTGTCACCGCCTCCTTGCAATCGGATTCAACAATTACATTAGAAATTGCCAGCTCCCAAGCCAGAATTAAGCTCTTGTAAATACCCCAATGCTCTGCATAAAAAACCGAACATCGCCCTAAGGCCTTCGAAAACCCCATCATCCAATTACCCAGATCAGAAGAAAAAACAGAATGCAAATGAATGAAGAAAAAAATAGAAAAATCGAAGAATCAAGAACAAATAAGCTTAAAAAAGAACAAAATTTGAAATCTGAAAGAAGAGAAGGAGATAGACTCACATGTATGAAGACATTCAGATATGGTGGTGTCATCCCTAAGAAGCTTATTGCAAAGAGGGCAAGTCATGCATGCCGCGATCGCTTCTCTCTTCACTTTGACGACCTGATTCGCCATCTCTCTTTCTCTTTTTTCCTCCTTGGATTCCCACCCTTCTCTTTGTTTTCTAATTTCAACTCAATAACCCCGTACACGTATCCTTCTCACTGCATGTCAAAAACACAAGCAAGCAAATTTTACGTACACATCTTCACAAAAAACGTGCATTAGAAACGATTACAGAAGAACTAACTAGAAAGAAGGGTTGTAAACAGATAGAGCTCGATAATGAACGAGAAGTGAAAGCAAGAGAGATTTGGGTGCACGAGCAAGATGGGATTAATTATGTTTTGTTCTGCAACAAAATGAAAAAAAGAGGGGATTGAGATTAAAGAAGAGAATAAAGGGAAAAACTACAATTAAGATCAAAGAAGAAGATGGAGGAATAGTGTTGTTGAGAAGATGAAGGCAACGATGATCTGAATCTAACCAAAAACAAATAGAAAGAAAAAGGAAAAAAATTACTCGTCGAAAGGAGCATGAACCGAGAGTTTCCTTTTGTTTTTATTATTAGGGTAAAGTATAGTAATGGTCACTGAACTTTTCTAAATCTTTCACTTAGATCCCCAAACTTTTAAAACTTACAATACAGTCCCCTAATATTTAGTCCGTTTGCAATATGATCCCCAACAGTTATGTCGGGTACCATATTGCAAACGGACTAAATATTAGAGGATTATATTACAAGTTTTAAAAGTTGAGGAACCTAAATGAAAGCTTTAAAAAAGTTCAGTGACCATTACTATACTTTACCCAATTGGAAAATAGGATGAATTCGACAGATTGGTGCTGTTCCATTCGGTCAAATCCATTGTCATAAATTCAGCCATTCTCTCAGGTTTAACTAGAGCTGACCAAGTGGTGACAGCATTAACACACACTCGGAAAATATGAGAGATTGATTCCGACGAAGCACATAAGACACACTCCGAATTATTTGACATATTAAATCGAACACGCTCTTCATTGGTCATTAATCTTATTTTACAAAGGCTTATCGGCCTAAATTGAGAGATATACGCAGGAGTGCTGATCTTCGGAATAAGCGCAAGAACAGTTTCGTTTATCTCGGTTGGCACTGATTGGGAAGCAAAACAACTGTGAACAAATTGGCAAACGTGAGGACTCACCACCTCCCAATTTTTTTGGTAGAAAAAGGAGTGAAAACCATCAATGCCAAGAGATTTAGATGGATCCATGCCGAAAACAGTTTGACGAATCACCTCATCTGAAGCAGGATTCAAAAGCATGGCAACAGAGGTATCAGAAATGATCGGAATCCGAGCTCGAATATTGTAGGTATAAACAAATTTTCCATCACTGGTAAAAAGTTTCTTGGAAAATTCAACCGCCATATTACCCAATTCCACTTGATCAGAACACCAGGTACCATCTAGATTTTTTAGCATCGAAAAAGTATTGCTTCGACGTTGGATTTTCGCAAAGGTATGATAGAATTTGGGTTTCGATATCCATTTAGCAACCAATTTGAGCGAGATTTTTGCCTCCAAAGACTATCCTCCTTTGCAAGAACCTGTTCTAAATCACGCTTAAGCTCCTTTCTAACTCCAAGAGGTATTCCGTCAAACGATTAATAAGAGCTCAATCTATCTCCCGAAGCCTGAGAAGTAATCTTTTCTTTCGTTCTCCAATAAGTTCAAAATTATAAACATTCCAATCGGCTAGTTTGGAATGAAGGTTGGTCAAATTTGAAACTAGGTCTCTTTCGCTATGCCACTGTTCATTCAACAAAGATTTGAATTCCTCATGCTGCTGCCAGGCAAATAAAAAATGAAAAGATAAATTCTCAATACGTCTAGGAGCAATAGAGGTACAAAGTGTTGCGGAAGACGGCTATCGGATAGAGCAAAATCGCAACTGATAATTTGAGAAAATAAAAATAAAGATAAAAGATGACACAAATTTTACGTGGAAAACCCCTAAATAATATAGGGTAAAAACCCACGGGCAACGGTAGAAGAATTTCACTATAAGAAAATAGGAATTACAACTTCTCTCGATCGACCAAGGAGAAAAAATGATAATTCTCTCTTGATAAAAAGGAGAAAACAACTCTCAAGAAACTCTCTAAAATTCTCTTTAGTATTGGAAGAAAGCTAGATGTTTTGAGATGGTTTTGAAGCTAAATGAGCTAGGGTATTTATAGTTGAAGCTTAAGACTAATTTGTAATACCCTAAATTACAATGACTAAAATGATTATCCCTTTACAATAATTTCAACAAATATACAATAATTTTTCGGTGCAACTTTGTTGACAATTCCATTCTTTTTGCACCGAAAGTGCATGCTTTCAACATATCCCACTTGAAGATTTGATTGGAACAATCATATCTTCAAACCATTCTTTCTACCTTGTACCTTCATGTTGCTTAGTTTCTGACAGACCACAAGAGGATCGACACCAGGTAAATTTATCAGCATTGATCACCTTCGTCATGAAATCTGCTATGTTGTATTCGGTATGGATCTTCTGTATATCTACCGTCCCTTCTTCCACCTTTTCACGAATGAAATGTACTGAAACTCGTATGTGCTTTGTCTTGAATGAAATGCTGGATTTCTTGCTAGATGCAAGGAACTTTGACTGTCACAAAATAGAGAGACATACTCTCGATTGTGCCCAAGCTCCTCCAATAGCATCTTCACTAAATTGCTTTTTACTGGCTTGTGTAGCTGCTACATATTCTGCTTCTGTTGTGGATGTAGCCACAACTGACTGCAATTTTGAAACCCAACTTACAACTCACCAGCAACTTTGAACACATATCCTGTAGTAGATTTGTTTTTATCCAATCCCCTGCATAGTCAGAATCTACATACCCATTGATTAGTAAGTTTGATCCTTCGTAACATAATGCAATATTTGAGGTCCCTTTGATGTATCTCAGGATCCTCTTTACTGTATTCCAATGCTCTTTGCCTGGATTCGCCATGTACCGACTAACCACTCCCACTGCTTGTGCAATCTCTGGTCTTGTGCATATCATAGCGAATATTAAACTTCCCACTGCTGATGCATACGGTACTCGAGACATCTCCATCCTATCTTCTTCACTGCTAGGACTCATACTGGAGGATAATTTGAAGTTATAGGAAGAGGGGTAGAAATTGGCTTACAATCTTGCATGTTGAATCGTGACAAGATCTTTTTCAAGTAATTTTTATAAAAGCCAAATCTTCTATTACTTCTGTCTCGGTGAATTTGCATCCCTAAAATCTTGTTTGATGATCCCAAGTCCTTCATTTCAAATTCCCTAGCCAGTTGTGCCTTCAATTCTTCAATATGATCTTTGTTGGGTCCTTCAACCAACATGTCATCCACATACAACAACAATAACAAAATCATTATCACCAGACCTCTTGAAATAAGCACAAGGGTTTGTGTTAAGTCTGTTGTATCCAAGGCACATAATGAAGGAATCAAATCTCTTATACCAACACCTCTGCGTCTGCTTTAGACCGTACAGAGATTTGTTCAACATGCAAACCAAGTTCTTCTTTTCTTTTTCTTCAAAACCTTCAGGCTGGAGCATGTAAATCTCTTCTTCAAGATTTCCATGAAGAAAAGCTGTTTTAACATCTAGTTGCTCTAGATGTAAGTTCAATGTAGCACATTGCCAAAACTACTCGAACTGTGTTAGTCGAACCACAGGAGAAATATTTCATTGAAATCAATACCTTCTTTTTGAGCATATCCTTTGACCACTAGTCTTGCACGATACCTCTCAACTTGATCGTCACCATTTCGCTTGATTTTGAAGACCAATTTGTTACCAATTGGCTTCCTTTCTTGTGGTAGTGGCACAATGTCCCATGTATTATTTTTATAAAGGGCTTCAATTTCTTTGCATCGCCATCATCCACAGTGAAGCATCTGAGCTGTTTATTGCCTCATGGTATGTTGATGACTCACTGTCCTCTGTTAAAAGGCAGTATGCAATATTACCTTCTATAATATAATCTGAGTGCCAATTGGGACTCTTCTCACACGATCTGATTGACAAGTTGTTGGAGCTTCAGAACTCTTTGGTTCTTATTCATCATGTGATGGTTCTGCTTTAGAAGAATCTCCTTGTTTTCCACATGTATCTGAGTAGTCTCTGACTTTTCAGCGCTATCATCGGCTTCTTTTCTTTGTAGTTTATCTTCTACAAAGACAACATCCCTGCTAATGATCACTTTGTAGGCAGTGGGATCCCACAAACGATACCCCTTTACTTCATCAACATACCCCAAGAATTTGCATTTTCTGGATTTTGGATCCAACTTTGAAATTTCTTGGGAGTTGTACATCACGTATACAATACTTCAAAATACATGGAGGTTTGAATAATCAGCTGGTTTACCAGTCCACATCTCCATTGGTGTCTTCAGCTCTATTGTAGTTGATGAAGCTCGATTCACCAAATAACAGGCAGTATTGACTGCTTCTACCCAAAATGATTTTTCTAGGCCTGCATCCCTTAACATTGCTCTTGTTCTTTCTAACAAGGTTCTGTTCATTCGCTCTGCCACTCCATTTTGGTGAGGAATGTTCGCCACTATGAACTGTCTTTTGATGCCTTCTTTCCTACAAAAGTCATCAAATTCTTCGCTTGTGTATTCTCCTCCATTATCTGTTCTGAAACACTTGATCTTATTTCCAGAATCAAGTTCCACCTGCCTTGAAGTTTTTGAAAGTTAAAAACACATCTGACTTCTTCTTAATATGGTACACCTAACATCTCCTTGAGTAGTCATCAATAAATGAGAAAAAGTATTTTGCTCCGCCTAGGGATGTAACTGGTGCTTTCCATACGTCAGAGTGAACCAATTCTAGAACACTTTTGCCTCTAGAATTTGATGTTTTGAATTTCAACCGGTGTTGCTTACTTGTTATGCAATGCTCATACAAAGTAAGTGATACCTTCGTTAAGCCTGGAAGTAGCTTTTTCTCCACAAGGACTTTCATTCCTTGTTCTGACATGTGTCCAAGTTTCTGATGCTATAGCATTGTAGAATCTGAACTACATGAGGCAACAGAGGCTTCTGCTTCTAGCAAAGTTTCTCCCTTCAGCATGTACAAGTTTGCTACTATCTTTTCGCCTTTCAACACCACAAGCGCTCCACAGAACACCTTCATGATTCCTTTCTGTGTTTCAATCTTGCTTGCATTATTATCCAACAATCCGTAGGATAATAAATTTTTCTTCATGCCTTTCACGTGCCGCATATCTCAAACAACTTTAATTGTTCCATCATACATATTCAATTTGATGGTTCTAACGCCAACGATATCTAAGGCATGATCATTGCAACTATACACAGATCCTCCTGAGATAGGTTCATAATGATGGAACCATTCTCTTTTTAAGGTCATGTGATATGTTTCTCCTGAATCAATGAGCCATATATCTGCAAATCTTTTTCTGCCTTCCACGGTGGTTGACGCTTCACAGCATAGAGCATCTCCATCATCTGAAGTGTTTGCGGTATTGCCTTGTG